TATATATAGAATCTAACAAAAACATTGGAACAGGCTCATATTTAGTTTAAGTTCCTGAAGTTAATGGTCAACATTTTCTCAAGGTTAAGCACATCTTCTTTGATGGACCATTTGTTAGAAGAAAAAAGAAAAGAAGGAGGAAAAAAAAAACACATCAATGACTTTATTCTTTTAAAAGTTTTAGACTCTATTATTCCTACATTATTCATGGAAAGTGCAATATACTTAATCGTTATATAATCATCTCAGCCTCATCTCTTAACCTGCCTTAAACTTGCACAAATAACAGCTGGAACAATTAGGCCTACATACTGTTCATTCTCTCACTATTTTTATGCAAGTGCACGTCTGACGGTGACTCGTCTCGCTAATGAATGCACAGCAAACCTCCAGAAGAGACCATTTTCTTTGACAATGCTCTGGAACAGAAGACACGAGGGCTCGGAGTGCGAAAGGAGAAAGGGCGGACAAAACACCATGTGGGCTGAAGGATAAAATTAGCACCTCAATAAAAGAGGAAGGAGCAGAGAAGGAAGCATGGACAATGAAATTAAGAGAAACCGCGACACATCAAACACATTCAATTACATTTCTGTCTTAGTCCTAGCATGACTGAAGAGTCGCCCATTATGACATTGGAACAAAGGACACTCGTGATCTCATTGCACAGTCCTCGACGGAAGTGTTTAATGGAATAAAAGCGGCTTCTTGTCGAGGCGTGCGGAGGTGCTTTTGAGTACCCCGTAGAATGACACATTTTTTTCATATGCGGGGAGGCAGGTCGCCTTTTCAAGGCAATTCCCTGTCATTTGAATGAGGAGAATGAGCCAGTGAATATCTCTGCGGAGTATGAGTTACCTTGACACAGTGGAGCCGGATTGTCCCACTGGTAAAGTCCATTGAGATGGAGTCTGCATGTGGCATTTCTGTGACCCACGAGCCTGTAGCCAGCGTTGCAGTAATACTGGAGCCTGCTGCCTGGCTGATCTCTCGCCCTATTAATGACTCCTCCATTCTTGGGTTGATCGTTCACACTGCAGTACGTGGCTGCGGGAGATGGAAACAAGCATAGTTTGTCATAGTATGATGTTAAAGGGGTCATATGATGCGATTTCAAGTTTTCCTTTCTCTTTGGAGTGTTACAAGCTGATTGTGCATAGATAAGATCCCTGAAGTTGCAAAGACTAAAGTCTCAAAACCAAAGAGATATTCTTTATCAAAGTTAAGACTCTGCCACGCCCCCCTAAAACGGCTCATTCTAACACGCCCCAAGGAGGGGGCTTTGTAGAAAACGAAGCGTTTGAGAGAGGCGGGGCATAGAGGACCTACAATAATGTACAGTATTTGAAAAATAATGTGTTTTTTGAACATTAAAGCATGTCAACATATTCTGTTACACCAAATACACAAAATAATGATCTTTAAAAAAGCATCATATGACCCCTTTAAGATAAAACTTCACAGATAAAAGCAGTGCTGATTCCTTGTCATAAACACTTCACGTGTTAAGCATACATATACTTACGTTATAATTTCCTTTGAAAGTAGGCTAAATATATTTATTTTTAGATATGTTACTTGAAAAAAAGACAAAAATAGTGATTAAAGACTGCTGACATGCCATAACCTTCAAAAACCATTACCCAACCTACATAAGGCATTTTTGCAACCCTGCATATGCTAAATATGGCTTCAGCTGGAACAAGGACAGACATGGTTTGTGCTTAGTGTTTAGTGTCCTAAATTATTGGGATAATAAATGTAATTACAAAAAAAGGCAATTTCTGTTTACATTTATATAATAAACAATTTTAGTATTTTGTTGACCAATGTAAAATCTGAATCCTGAAGCAAAAGCAGTTTTCCTCTTCTCTAGACAGCTTTTTATTGGACAAAAAAAAATATCCAAGAGCAATTTATATTTTTAATCTATTTCCTCACAAGAAAAAGACTGTACATTTTAAATATGTTTATCTAAGTTAATTTAGTCAACTTTTATGGTGGTACACGGCCATTTAGATGAACTCAAAACTAACAGATGTGGACTAAAAAAGCCATCCAACTCAAACTTGGAATTCATGAGGTCTTTACAACTGTGTTTAAGCTTGATTCTGAGATAAAACGAAAAAGAGAAAATGCAGCTTGATGGTTATGATCAGATCATTAGATCTTGTTTTTGATGTGACACAAATACAAGTTTACCCATCATAAAACGGAAAGCAGAAGCTCGAGGGATGTCAAAGCTTAATCTCACTTCAGACAGATCGAATCAAATGCATCATCACACCAACTCTGCTGAGAGGTTTAGACTTAGCTGTGAGTGATTAACTAGACCTAGCATAAAAAAAGCTCATGTGACACTGAATTTTAATTTTCTTTACCCTTAAAGCCCAACAGACTAAGAAAGGCGGGAAAAACAAGGAGGGGCTTGAAGTTGCTTCTCAAAGATGTTTTGTAGAGATAAAGGTGTTATATTTATCATAAAGCATTGCCTACATCCTGTAATTATTGAAATTCAAGAAAAAAAAGTATTAACCACTATGTTCAAAAACATAGTCCCTCTGAGCAACATAATGGTTTCTCGTTCGGTCTGCTCTTGAAAAAATCCAATAAACAGGAAACAGGTGGCAACACACTGGAATAATGGGCCTGCATAGGGCATGGCATGTCAGAAAGATCAAATGAAATGAACACAGAGAGCAATAAATGTTGACAGAGAGGCAGAGAAATGGGAACGGGTGAAGAGATGCCGAGTAATCATGTCCACTGGCTTTGTGGCCCATATATCATGTTTAGCCATTGGTGGAAATGTCGGTCAGAAGCAAACGACATGGTAGTTATTCAGCAAAATTCATTACTGCATCTTTGACCTCTATTACAGCAGACTTGCCAATGGCTCCCTGAAGGTAGGACATGTCTGGTTCTAGCCTAATGAGGGCTAAATTAGAAAAAGCTGACTTTTTCACTTATTGACCCATTTGGATCCAAAGCAACAAACTTGGGGGGCTAAATGGTGGGAATTAATCTGACACACATATTGCATGCTATTGAATATACCAATAGATGAATTAGAGAGAATTGTAAATGCCTGTTTAAAATGCCTGGAGGCATCAAATGTGGAATCAAACAGAAATGGAGCTAGCTAGGTTTTTTTTTTTTTTTTTTTGGTGGATTTCTTTCTTCTACGTGTGTTGCTGGTTTTGTGTTCAATAAGTAATTTGTTTTTCCAAGTTTCTAAGAATAACCCTGCAGTACTTCTGGATGCATGCAAAACATGAAAAGTTATACATCTGTTACAAACCTGTGTAACGTATTTTGAAGCCTTTCTTGCTGGTCGCATGATCAGTTGACCATCTGAGGTAAAGCTGGTTTGTTTTGCTAGTGAAATTCAATTGAGTGGAGTGGTTCCCACTCAGAGCCACCAGCAACGGACTCTGTCCAGATGGCCCTGGTAAATAAAACATCACAAAAAAACAACAAGTAAAGCTAAATATTGCAAACCACAAATCTGTTGGGCAGCAACATGGCAGACGTGACTGAAAGAACAAATGTCATAGAGCAGTGGTTCTCCGTCTTTTCAAGCCAAGTGCCACCTTTGATCAAATCAGCACAACCTAGCCATCACTACTGTTTACACTACACTGCTTTTCCTGTCACTTGGTTGGGTCCTAGAGGATCTTTAGAAATGCTCTAAAACACATATAATAAAGTTGAAAAGTTTTATTATCCATTTCATATCCACTAACACCTAATCATAAATATATTTCTGAAACCTGAGCAATTTACTGTATCTTAAAACTTATCTTGTCTGTTTTTGAGTAACTGGATTGCTCTGCATTATGGAATTTATGTTCAAAACTGAGTGCTAAATTCGGTGTTTCCAAGTAAAATGCAGAACACCCATTAAAGGGATAGTTCACCCAAAAATGAAAATTCACTCTTCATTTACTCACCTTCAGGCCATCCAAGATGCAGGTGATTTATTTTATTCAGTAGAACAGTAAAGAAGATTTATAATAATAAGATAAATAAACTAGCCTTAATCAACTCACTTTTTCACATAAACCATTTATTAAAGGTTCATACCACGAACCTTTCATTTTACCCCTTTATTCAAGTGCTCAGTTTACACATACTCGTATCAGCAAGTTCTTTGGTTCAAATCTGAACTTATACTGAACTGAGGCAATAATATTGTAAATAATGTTCAGTTACCAATCATTTCGCTTCGAAAGACCTCAAAATATTGTCAGGAGCCACGGGAATTAATTTTGTGTTGCCTGCATATGTTTTTTTTTTTACTCTTAAAGTGATGGTAGCCACTAACATTTTGTGAATCACCAAGGACCACGGTTTCAGCTAAAAATCTTCTT